AAGAGGCCCGGGATGTGGAAGGAGAATACCGAGAGACTGGTATTGCAGGATCCAGGAAAGGAAATAAACAGTAGTGAGATGAGGCATAAAGTACAGCTTAGGTTAAGAGAATGGACATTCAGGTCACATAGATTGTTGATCAGCCCCCTCCCACCTTCACTACTTGCTTTGACAGGAGCCTCATTTCTCCTCTGGAAGATGGAGATATAAGCTTGGGCTTTTTCCACGAAGACATCATGAAGGCTGAGCCATAACACATGTGCTATACATTGTGGAACATTCCTGGAGAAAGTGAGACCAATGCTTACGGTCAATAGGTCTTGTCCAATAGTCTTTTCAAGGGACTATGACACTCTATCCACACTGTTTGTCCTTCTTGAAAAATAGCAACTGTTGTAATTTTTTTTAAAAAAAGATTTTTTCTCATGCCCTTTGGATACTTACTTCAATTTTCCCCCTCTGCTAGTCTTTACTGTAACATCTCAGCCAAGCCTCCTGTCATCAAGGATACTCATACTTAGCCACAGTCTGCTTCTGCTGGTATTCAGCTACTCCTTGGGCCACTCCTTTCCTGCCTTCTCTGTAAATTCATCTCTCTTCCCGGGTTTATCCTTCTCTCATTAAATTTTATAATCAGGACACACTCCTCAGGCTGCACATCCTCCTTGATTGGTGTCTTCCATAGCCCAGGATTTAATTTCTTTGCACATATCTTCAGCTCAGACCTCCCCTGTGAGTCACAGAACTTGGATGATTCGACAGTTTCATAAATTCAAAATGAGTTCCATAAACACTAAATGAGCTTCCCTCCCACACCACAACACTGACTTTGGCTCACAGAATGGTATCACCATCTCTCCAGGTGCACAGTATAGAAATTTTAGAGCCGTTTTAAACATTATCCTCTCTACACTTCTCCTCACTACATTTAAATCATGACCCAATCACATCACTTTAAACTCCAAATGTCTCTTGTCTGGTCCACTTGTCTCTGTTTCTACTACCACTCATGTCTTAAGTAACTGCCTCTCCTACTTGAAAAATGACAGAAGACTCTCCACTGGTCTCTTTTTGCCCACTCTAAGACCCACCACCCCCATTGTATTCTTCTGCAGCCATATGATTTAGGTTTTCAAAACAAATATGATTTTGTTGACACCCTGCTTAAAGCCCTAAGTGGTTTCTCATTTCTCTTAGGACAAATTCAAGCATCTTTATCACAGCCTATAAGGCTTTACAAAAGTGTCCCTTCCCCCATTTCCAGTCTCAGTGCTCCCTGTACAGTTTCCTGCTTTCTGATGTCTGGGTCCCCAACTTCATCTCTTTTCCTTACTGATGTTTCTGCTTATTAGCATCATGCTCATTCAACCCTTGCCTTGTCCTGCCCAGTATCATTCAGCAGTCCCCTCACTGCTAGAAATAGAATATTCTCCAGCTATACCACTTCCTGCCCCCAACAGGAAGTTTTTCCTCACTCAGAAAATCATCCATTAAAAATCAATCATTAAAAACCTCCCTCTTTAAGACCCTGTGAGCCCCAATGGGCCAAGGTCACATGTCTCTTGCCTCTAATGGCAGCCCTAGGAGTCAGTCCCCCTATGGGGACCCAAAGAAAAGGGAGAATCAGGGGGAACCAACATAGCTGGGTTCTGTTCCCCCCAGAGTGGGGGCATAAAAGAGGGACGGCCCAGGAATGCTAGAGAGAATAAGGAGGGCAGGCTTGGCTTCTAGCCCTCAGACTCAAGGTGGCTGGGTAGATTTCCTGCTGAACATGCCCACCCCTACTCCATGTTGGCAGGTAGGATGTAATAGAATCTGACCAGGCTGGGATGCACATTTGCGAGTTCAGGACCTGCCTCACCTCCCTTCATAGGTTGTACCAGGATATCTGGGAATCCCTTCTGGTACTAAAATGTAATTTAATTTCTTAATAGAGAAAAAAAGTACATTCTGGTACTGTGGGGCTCTGATGTGTCTTGACACCAAGGTCATCAGGACACCTAGGCTGTATTCTGTCTACTCAGGCTTTTATCCAAACCAAGATGAGGATTCTGAGTAAGGGAATGACATTGCCTTACCTTGAGGTTGGCAGGGTATTAAGTGGAAGTATTAAGACATCTGTGGGTACATGTAGCACAGCATTACAAGCCCAGAGAAATCAGATAGCCAAAACCCCAGTGCCAGCCCAGCATGGGATGATGCCTAAGCAACAGAGACTGCACTGCAGGTAACAATGGCAAGACCTGACAAGATAACTCTCAGAGGGCAGTGAAAATGAGTGTCTCTTCCCCCATCTCCAGTCCTGGTGCTTCTTGAACAGTTTCCTGCTTTTTGAGGTCTGGGTCTTCAACCTTCTCTCTGTTCCTTACTGATGTTTCTTTCTCCTTATTAGCATCATGCTCATTCAACTTGCCCTGTCCTGCCCACGCAAGCTGAAACTTGGATGCAAGCCTAAAAATCAAGAGAAAAATTATAATTATAATTAATTGTAATTAAAATTGTTCCTTGACCTTTAAAATTTTCTCTCTGGGCTGGGGATGTGGCTCAAGCAGTAGCGCGCTTGCCTGGCATGCGGGTTGGGGGGGGGTGTGCTAAGTTCGATCCTCAGCACCACATGAAAATAAAATAAAGACATTGTGTTCACTGAAAACTAAAAAATAAATATTAAACAAAATTCTCTCAAAAAAATTTTTTTTCTGTCAAACACTAAAGACTCTCTTATCATATGTTTTAAATATATAGTTAAAAAAGTAGTAAAAACAAGCATGCAATAAATTAAAACACTAGAAACAGCAAATTTTAAATTTAATTTACATTTAATTTAAAATTAAAGTGTAATTTAATTTCTTTTTTAGTAAAAAAAAAAAAGTGATCAAGGATATTTGGACAGTGTTGCTTTCTTCTCTCTATCTCCACAGAGCCTCTTTTTTTGTCTTGGCGAAGTGTCATAATCCTTTATAGATCTGCATGAGCCTTCAACACCTTACACTTTGCACTTTCAATGTTGTAAAATATTTCTGAAAGTTCCCTTAATGTGAAGGTTTTTGCTGGCATTATTTCCTCCAGACATCTTCATCCTTTTGGTTATAACCAGTTTCCTCATTTACACCTTTAACCTTGGTTTCATGTATTGTCAGACATAGAAACGTCAAAGGTCCTGCTTGTCAGAAAGTCACAGAGAGCTTACTCAGAAAGATGTAAAAATTTCATTTTGGGAGTTAAAAACCTAAAACAAAGAGAACAAACAAACAACCTCAAGCTATTCAAAGTAGCTATTCATTAATAAAGAAGTCAGATGATAACAGATACAATTCTAAATGTTCAGAGCCAATTCATGTATGTTAAAAGACAGCAAAAACAAAATTACCGCACATATGCATGGACCTTTTCAGTTCCTTGCACTTAAGTGTTAATGATTATTTAAGTGGTGAAATAATAAATGAATCAATAAAATGTTGAAACAACTAAGTAAATTTAACTATCCTGTGAAAATTTTGTAATTGCCAGAAATTGGTATTTGGATGTTTAATATCTTTTATAGATTGGGGGAAAGGTAAAATTACATCTTCCTTAAGCATCTGATAAAATTTGAAGCTCTCTCCCTTCAAAAGTGCATGTGAGCAGACATGACATTTTGGACATTTCAGGAAATTCACAGAGCTCCTGACATCCAATTAGAAGCCCTATCTATGAACTTAAACTTTTATTACTAGGTAAAACAGAGCCAAAGTCTGTTTCAGAGTATGGCAAGTCCCACCAAATTTCGGCACTTTCTTTTAAATAAAATTCTATTAATTTATTTTAATATTTTGTTCTTAGTTGTAGATGGACACAATACCTTTTATTTATTTGTTTGTTTGTTTGTTTATTATTTATCTGCTGATAAAGATGGAGCCCAGTGCCTCAATGTGCTAGACAAGCATTCTACCACTGAGCCACAATCCCAGCCCCCAAATTTGGGTACTTTCTAAAAAAAGACAAACTTTGCAGCATATCAACTGCCACTGGAAAAAGGATTTAATGGTGACTTTTCACTGTACGAGTTTATTCAACCAAGGCCTCTTCAACTACTAACTACCACCCCTGAAACTCTCTTCTAGAGTAAAACCTGGCTGTAAAGACAGACTCCACAGCAGATGATTGTTGAAAAACAGCAGAATCAGCAATCAAACTGACAAGGGATTGTATTGCACAGGATTAGCCCTGTTGGGATAAGGCTGCAGAGTGGCCTGAGTCTCTTACAGGTGGCATCCTACTCGGTCTATCCTCTTCCTTTATTCTTCCCCTCCCATTCTTCTTTTCCCCACTACTTCTAATGTTGACTCCAGGGATACTGCTTAATTAGGCTATGGTGCAGGAGATTTTAGATCCTAAAAAAGTCACAAGAGAAAGACATTCTGCATGAGTTACTTTGAATTCCATAGACAATCCAATGGGAGGCTCTGAGAACATTTCAATGATGTCCAAGAAGTGGGTCTTGGTCTTGCTATCTTGCGATAGAAACTCACTATTTGGGAAAGTAACGTTTGATTAAGGAAAGGGATTGCCAGATTGCTTTATTTGTTTTTTTTTTTTTTAATTGATTTGGCTTCAAGGAAAAAAGATTGCCTAAACAAAATCTGCTGATGAAGTCACAGAATGATTCCACTTCTGGAATGAGCTTCGTTTTCTTGTATTTTGGTAAGAGATTTGGCTCTCAATTGGGAATGTGCATCACTCTACCCACTCAAGGGCAAGATGATAAGGTTCTATCAGACCACGCATATAAGAGAACCTGAGACTCTACCAAGGTCAGAAATGCTGCACTTCAAGCCAAAAGATCTTTCTTGGGCTTGCTTGTTTTGACTTGTAACCACAAATTTGTCTTGTCTAAATGTCCAATCACATTATAAAACAAAGTACTGATCTCCCCAACACAGCATCCTCTGAAGCAGCTGGAGTCATAGACGAACCTGTTAGGGGATTCTCTAGTAACTTTTCTGCCCCTTTGATTTCCATAGAGCTCTAAATTGCTGTGTCTGAGGCTGATGAGAGCAAGATGGTTTTGGAAATGCTGAATCCAATGCACTATAATGTCACCAGCATAGTGCCAGAAGTCATACATGTTGGCACCATGCCGATTCTGCTGCTCATGGGCCTTCTTCTCTTGATTTGGAATTATGAGAACACATCTTCAATACCAGGTAAGTCACTTGCTTATTTCTGTGTCTAAGGATATTGTTTCTTCAGGCTTTTGATTCATGATCATAAAGAAAATTTTGCAAAAGGACGAAGAGCAAACCCTAGTAAGATCTCTGAAGACCATGGTCATGATAGCAAATGAGGACTGAGGTTAAAAGGTTTATAACTATTACTTGCACATTTTAAATGAAAGCATTTTAAAAATATCTTAGATAAACTCATCTAGTCTGCACACTTCTTTGGAAAAATAGACTTGACACAAGTGCTTTTTAAAGCAAGCTTGAGATGGGGTGGAACAAGGTAGAATTCCAGGGTTTTTTATTAATTTTTTTAAAAAATATATTTAAATCCATTCCAATTTTGCCCTGTGGCTGAAGTGTCTCTGGAATCCCTTCTTTCTCCATTCCTTCTCCCTCCTACTTTGCCTTACCTGCACCCTCTCCCTTTCTTGTATTTCTCCTTTCTCTTTGTTTTCTTGGCAATTTAATGATTGTGGCATCACCATGAAAGTTGAATGGGACCTGGGCAATGGGAGAAGAATGGGGGCCACCACCATTTTATAGGCACACCACAACCTGATGGAATCTTTAACAAGACCCATGGGTCAATTAAGAGTAAAGAATAATAGAATTATCTAGATAATCCCAATGGAAAAATCCTACCATTCCACCACTACTGCTTTAATTTTCAGATTAATTCAGAATTACCAGAACTGTTGCTTTAGTTTTCAATGTAAATGCCTCCTGGCAGGCACCTGTTCCCAATTCCATAAGCTATCCAATAACACAGTTTCAAGAGCATAGTAATTACATTTCTAAGTGTGTTGAGCCTCAGAGATACAGGGTAACTGAAAATGGGCACATGAGACTGGTACAAAATATTGCATGTCTGGATTCTTTTCAAAATTTCCCAGTTAACTGCCTGTTTCTCTGTCTGATTCAGCCTGGTTACTTGAATGCCAAATTTATTGGGATATTTAGTTAATTTTGTTCTCTGCTCTCCAGCCTCTGGGTCATCTCCAGAGGAGGAGGCTTAGAGCTGAAGAAAGATTTTCTGGTCTTTGACTTGAACTCCCACTCCGGATGTGCCTCTTCTTCACTGGATTTTTCCTCTGTCTAGTGGGCTCCTAAGTCAGGGTCAATGAATGGTAGAGGTGAAGTGAATGTGTATGGCAGGGAGGGGTGGAAAGATTTTTCCTTCTCTTCCCTGACATAGGCTGAAGTGTTAAAGTCTAATCCACTTATTATCAGTGCAGCTTGCAAAGAGAGAGAGGTCAGCATTGTCTGCCCATCCAGTAAGCCACAGGTTCTCTAACTTTTAGTTATTAGAAGAATCAGTGAGGCCCAGATTCCCAGGCCCTCCCCCAGACTTTTGAAATGAAGATGTTCCATGCCTGGGAAAATGCATTTAAAAAAAGACATCCAACTAGATTCTCGTACTGCAAGCACCAGTGATATTCCCTTGAACCCTTGAGTCTGAAGTTCATCTTATGCAGAATAAGTGTGAAAACTGGAAGCCTTAAAGCCCTGGGTCATGAGGCTAGATGGCATCTCACTTTGTCCTTCACTTCTGGGCCAGGAGCATTGGCAGTTAGATCACATTGATAGTACAGTGGGCCTCTGCTCTGCCAGAGGTGGGGCCCCAGGCTGATGTTTTAAAAACTTTCCTCTGGTAACTTTTCATGGGTAGCCAGGGTTGAGAGCCACAAAGATGGGCCCAGCTCCTTCTTTTGATAAAAGGTTCAGAACAAGTGATCTGCCTTGCCAGGTGACATGTTATGACAAGAGTGAGAAACCGAGGAGTTTTACAAGTGAGGGGTGAAAGCCCAGAGAAGGGAAATGGCTTGTCAGCTCTTCAGTGGAAGGAAGGTGAGAGCATAGGGGATGCCTGGGAGGTCCTCAGTCCCATGTCGATGAGCACTTAGCTGACCAGGGAGTTTCTAGCTTTGTGCTAACTTGAGGTTTGGTTAGAATCTTCTAGTGGCACAGACTAAGAACCTGTGGTTCCTGGTTGGGGGTGGGAAGATGAGAAAATGGTCCTTGTTGGGGTGGTAGTTCTTGCTGCTCTCTTCTTCTGAACTCCTCCTGCCAGCTCCCTTGCATCAGGGATCACTGGGTTCTTGGTTTTACAGGTTCCGGGGAAGCTCAGGGTTGTCAAAAACTGAAGGGAGTTCAGAAGGCATAACGATTAAAAGACCTTAAGTTATAAATTACAAGGCAGATCCACACCCGTTTTCTCTGGTGAGGTTGATGTTAATGCCTATTTCTGTGGATCAAAAAACTGAGGTTCAAAGAGGGCAGATGTTGTACTGTTAGTAGACGATGGAACTGGGACTCACATCTAGGCTTCTTGTGTTTTCTTAGAAGCTCTCCCAGGTCAGGCGTTTAAGGGTGGAGGGCATGTGAAGACAAGAGGTGTGGTTTCTGGCCTGGGAAGTGGCCGACAGTTAGATGGCATAGTGCCAAGAAGGGAGCAGTGAGAATCTGGGGGAGGAAAGACTTCTGTGGGGGATAGGGTTGTAGTCTTCAGTTCTGAGAGATGCCCTAAGGCCACTGATCTCCGTCCAGGACTCTCAAAACCTGGCACCTGGCAGCTCTCCCTTCTCCAAGGACACATAACCATCCTAACCTTGAATGTGGGTCCTCTCCCTCCAGATGCCACACTCTGTCCTGGGCACCACATCCCCAGAGCAGGGCACTTGGAAGAGGACATGGCAACATGTTCTTTTTCCCACTAAGAAACTATTTCACAGAAAAGTGCACAGTGTAATGGAAGATTTGCCATCATGGTCCTGTACAAGAAATAGGATGTTAATGGCATTCTAGAAGTTCCTCATGTGCCCTCTCAGTCACTCTCTCATTCCTGGAAGTAAATTCTTTCCTGGATTTTGTGACAGTCACTCCCGTACTTTTTTTTTTTTTTTTAATAGTTTGGTCTCCTCATTTTATATTCCCAGACAAAATGGTTTAATTTTGCCTAGTCTTAAGTGTTTGAACAATCGAAGCATTCGTGTATTTATTCTTCTGTCTTGCTCCTTTGCTGGATATTATGTTTGTAAGATCCATCCATGTTGTGGCATGCAGCTGAAGTTTGTGTCATGGCCACGTGGTATTGAGTCTATGAACATCTCATGGTTTAAAACCAATTCTACTGTTAAGGACACTTTGGGCATCTCCAGTCTGGTGGATGGCATGGCTGTGAACACATGTATGCACAGGTTTGTTGGGATATATTCTGAGGTGTGGAATACAACAGCTCTTGATTAGAGCAGCCGGTGAGCAATCCCAGCTGTTGGCTTCAAGGAGGCTGTCTCTGCACAAAAATGCAGTGAAGGATTTACTACTCCTCTTAGGGTGTGAAAGAGGCTCCTGCAATCACTGCATGCCTAGATAAGCATTCCCAAAGCAGACAGCAGAGTAATGTGGAAGCAATCAGAATATTCCCCTAATATTTTACCCAAGTTTCTATCCTCCCAGAGCATTTTTCCTCTTCAGCAGGGTTAAAACACTAAGGTTCTCAGCCCAAACTTCAGGGTTATTGCAATTTCCCTTTTTCAGTAGATACAGCTCTCCACAGTCATATCTTATGTCTTAAAATGTTTTCATTTTGAAATTTTATATTTTGCAAATTGGTTTTTTAAAATGATGGGGGGGTCTCACTATGTTGCCCTGGCTGGCCTTAAACTCCTGGGCTCAAGTGATCCTCCTGCCTCAGCCTCCTGAGAAGCTGGGACTCTTGGGGTGTGCTACCAAATCCAGCTCACTGTTATACATTCAGTTGGAATGGTGGCTCCCAGATAATAAGGTTTTCTTCATGGCACCAACCTTTAGATAAAAGATGGAAAGAGCAGTGTTTTATTTGTATGTCTTTGTTTCTCATGGGACTTGCATATTGAGTGAGTGAGTGCTGAATGATTCTACTCAAATTCAAGTAGCTATTTGGCTCTTGTGAACTAAATGTGTGTTCTATGACATTTTTCCCCATTTTTATCAAAATGTAAAATACCTTAAATAAGAATAACATTCAAACTTCATTCTCTATGTTATCTGCATATATTTATGAATTTTGAATTTATGAATTTTGAAAATTAAGGAAACACTGAGCATGCAGTATGGCTAAGCTATAAATATCCAATGATATAGTTTGTTATTACCTATTTTAACTGACGAAAGTTTTCTATATCTGATGACATTTTAGGGAACTATATGTTCAATCAAATCTATTTGTTCAAATCTTTTTTAAGAACTCAATGAATTATTTTAATATAGAATTATTTTAATAAAGTCAAACATCTACTATATAATATATACTGTTATTAAAATAATCACAAGATTAATGACCCTTTGATAATATTTTGGTTTTATAGATATTAACAAAGATCTCCTTAAAAGGGGAAAAATAGCTGACGGTATTGTTCTTATTAACTCAGTCATTGCAAAGTATAAGGTTAAAAATTGTTTGGATAATTCCAGTGAAAGTTTTGATTATCTAGATTATTGTACAGCTATAGCCCTGGGGGGTGAGGGTGTTCTCTTATACAGTCAGGCATGTTTTGGCTTCACAACTATTTAACTGACAGAATAGAATTAAAGAAGAAAGATTTACAAAAATGACTACTTTGCAACTCCTAAGACCATCCTGACTGTTTTTATTTAGTTTGTTTGCCAAAACCAGTAAAGTCAAATGACCAAGTTTGTTCTCTGCTGTAAGCAACATCAAGTTCCCCAGTCATTGCCTGGATTTGGGTTCTTTGAAATCTTATCCCTGACTATATAAGGAAGGATGTGAGTGGCCACTGCTCTTGCCTAAAACGAGATCACGGGACTCAAACTAGTCTAGACACTGAGAAGACTTGTTGCCTAATCCCTCATTCTTAGCTTTATTTTGCCTCATGAGACTTAGCCTAAGATTCTTTTCTTAAACTGAATCTTTTTTTGAGAGGAAAAAGAAGATGTGAATGTTTTTCGATTAGACATTATCTTTGCAGATCTTGCTTCTCTCAGTTAAAAGGATTATTTCCAAACTGCCCAGTTCTGACATATCTGTTCTGTCAACTGGGGCATTCAAAACCAGAAGTTTTCAGACAAAACCAAACTGCCAAATAGTTTTCATGGGTTCCACACTTGTTACCAATAAGACCAATTAGCTTGTATGCAAAACATATTGGCACTGTGTGACTTGGGAAGAGATCAGCACACAGCCTCCAGTTCATTGAGACTGAAATGACTGAGACCAAATGGAGCTAGTGTGATGGGCTTCTGAAGTACTTTTCACTACAGAGGGATGAAGAGCCCAGGTGAAGCTTGTCTTGGTTTCCATTTTAAATTGCTTTCTTAGTGAGTCACAGATAGATATAAAGAACGTTTATCTCTCAAATTTTGTAAAAGGGTTTTAATGTTTAAAGGGTTATTCAGAGGATTATGTGTCACCCCTAAAATAGCCCTAAAGAAGGCATGCAACAAGTGGCAGCTACTTTGCTCACCTACTCTCATTATCCACAGGCCTGGGGCCCTAAGAGGTTATTGAGCTAGAATTAGCTCAGCAGCTTTCCTTTCATATGTGATAATGTTTCTAAAGGCCAACAAAACACATTGAAGATAGCACCCCTCCCCCAAAAAGAACATTTAGATATAAAAGAACAAGTATTTCTGGTTTGCTAAAATACAATGTTCTGATAACTATCCTAGGTCCTGGATACTGTATGGGAATTGGGCCCCTCATTTCCCATGGTAGATTCCTGTGGATGGGGATTGGCAGTGCCTGCAACTACTACAACAAGATGTATGGAGAATTCATGAGAGTCTGGATAGGTGGAGAAGAAACACTCATTATCAGCAAGTAAGTTTGTTAATAAAAATCAGAGACACAGGGGTAGATTGTGGCTCAGTGGTAAAGTGCAAGGGTCTGGGTTCAATCACCAGCACCCAAGATAATCATCATCATCATCATCATGCGTACTTTAAAATCAAGACTGAAGTTTTTGCTATTAAAAAAAAGTAATTTTGATTCCTTGATATCTTGGTAAGGCTATGTTTTTACTGCTATAACGAAGGTGAGTAATTCCTAGGTAATACTGCATGCAAACAGAATAATTGGATTGAAGCCAGAGGTACATAGATAAAGAAGTCTGGAAAGTTGGGAAATTATTCAAAACTTCTGAGCAGTGGATGTGGAAGCTCAGAATCCAAACGATATGGTGTTGAAAAAACAGACTTTAGGGAGAGGCATTATCTTTTCTGCTTTTCTAAAAATTTGGTCTTATCTCTACAAGTAAGCATTAAACACACACACACACACACACACACACACACACACAAGAAATTTAAAATAAAAAATTAGAACAAAACTTGAGATGCAGGATCTGACCAGTAGTTTTCTAGAGTGTTTCTAACACTAGTCTCAGAGTCCTCAGAGACAGCAGACAGCAGGCTATGGCACCATTCAGGCGCTGCCATCCCTCTAAGACTGTGTGCCAGTATCCTGGCCTGGCAATTCCAAATAAGTCAGGAGCAGCATCACCCATTAAGAAACAATGTCCTAACTCCCTGCATCATCGTGTTTGCTGAGTTACCTTAGTATGTTGACCTCACTCTAGAATTAACCAAATATATATCAACTGTGCACTAGTTTTCTTGCTTATTGATCTTAAAAAAGTGAAGCATTTCAAAGAAGGCATAATTCACTAAACTTCAGATAACTTGACAAGAACTTTAACAAAGCTATCTTCCAACAGTGTCTCACTGATAATTTTTTTAATTTACAATCCCTGACAGAGCTTTACCCACAAACGAAAACTCATCAAGGCGTTTTAGTAATTTGTTGGAATTATTCATCCCAATACATAAACTATCGATCAAAATGTAAGTAAAGCATTTCTGGAAACTGCATGAATTTTTCAGGCCAAGGTTATATATTTCATTTCATTAAATATCATGGTATCCTCAAAGCCCAATTCTTTCAAACAGATTCTGAAAAAAGGAAGCAGTGAGAGAAAATGTGTTATACTTCCAAATATTTCAGACTACCTGGTAATGTTATTTTGGATCTGTCCAATACTTCAATTTTTGCCAGGGTTTTTTTTGTTTGTTTGTTTCATTCGGTGTTGAAGCCCTTTCCAGAATAGCTAAGGCAGACCACATTTATACAACTAAACATAAATGGCTGCAGGTGGACATGTCATTGCCCTGGGTTCATTATAAAACACTGCTATAGTGGTTCTCAGAATGTTCTTCCTGGACCAGCAGCCTCAAACAACCTGACAACTTGTTAAAAATGCAAATTCTTGCCAGGTGTAATGGCATACACCTATAGTCCCAGCAGCTCAGGAGGTTGAAGCAAGAGAGTTACAAGTGTAAAGCCAGCTTCAGCAACTTAGCAAGGCCCTAAGCAATTTATCAAGACTTTGTCTCAAAAGAAAAAAAAAAAAGGACCAGGGATATGGCTCATTAAAAGTGTTTCTGGGTTCAATCTCCAGTACAAAAAAAAAAAGCACGTTTTTGGGCCCCATCTCGACCTACTAAAAAGGAAAGCCTGAGGGTAGAATCATATAGCCTGTGTTTTGATAAGCTTTCCAGGTAATTATGAGGCACACTTGAATTTGAGAACCATTGCTGTATTCAATAGATCATAATTACTCTTTGATTTTACTTGTCCTAGTCAATTGAGCTCTGGTCAGTCAAATTTGAGTGAATTTGATATCCTTTTTACTTTTTATATTTTGGTACCAGGATTGAACCCAAAGGTATTTAACCACTGAGCCATATCCCCAGCCCTTTTTTTTTTTTTAATTTAGAGACAGAGTCTCACTGAGTTGCTTAGGATCTCACTAAGTTGCTGAGGCTGGCTTTGAACTCTTGATCCTCCTGCCTCAGCCTCCGGAGCTGCTGGGATTATAGGTGTGCACTACCATACCTGGCTTGAATTTGATATCGTAATATGTTCTCATTTTAAAAATCAGTACTTACAATCACTTTTAAAACTGGTTACTGTCTCAAAAAAGTCCTGGAACTGCTGTCCTTTGGTTTGGGGATTGAAACATTTTGCTTTTTCAGCCCCCAGCTCAGCATGCTGCCTTCCAGCCCTCCTGAGTTCTGCAAGTCTGCCTTCCCTGACACCTGCTTCCCTTGACAAGCAGGTGAAGTGACCCTCAGAATATTTATCCAATAGGAGGTCCACCCATGGTCAGCATTTGAAGCAGTGGCTTATCATCCTAGATGCATATTAGAGTCTCTCAGGGAGATTTAAAAGCCCAATGCCCAAGCCTTTGAGACCAGAATCTCTGAAGTGGGAACCCAGACATTAGTGGTGTTTGAAGCTCCTCAGGACTCCTCAGCAGCCTGCAGAGCTTGGGAACCTCCCATTTAAAGAGAAAGGAAGAGGACGAAGGTTCTGGTACAAGAGGGCTTTTGTGGTGGGTTAGGGGAAACAGCTAAGCACAGTTGAAGTGGCATTGTCTTGTTGCATTACCCTTGAGTCCAGCCGGTGGTGGTGCCATAGGACTAAATTGGGAGTGAAGAATGATGGATTTGAGAGTGGAGAATCAGGCAGAAATCCCTCTCAGGAGATACTCAGATGGTACACTGAGGTCACCAGATACATTTCCTGGGTGTCCAAAGACAATCCCTGAAGTAGGATGCTTGTTGCCATTAGGATGGCATCTGGCCACTCTGCCTATCTTCATTAGGAAAATGACCTTAGCCACTCTGACCATCTCAGGCACTGATTCACACAGAGGCGTGGACACAGCCTACCTGCCCTTCCCCCAGCTCTCTGAGTCTTTTCTTGTCCTGTTCTCTCCGGCTTTTCACTTGTTGGAGTCTTTGTGTTCTCCTTAATTGCCTCAGAGCCGCTCAATTTTGTTGTTAAAGGCAGAGCTCCCCTCAGGAATAGGACATGTTTTTCCCCATCTCCTTTCCCTGCCTGCTCTTCAAGTCCCTTCCAGAACTACCCGTACCTCTTGAAAAGACCCCATCGGACCTCGGAAAGCTTTTTATTTTTATGTGAATAGTTTGCCATATTACTTTTTTCTTTTTAAAATTTGAAGTCTGTAGTCATTCCAACCGTGTAGCATTCAATACAACTTTTCCAGCCAGCTTAACTCCAGAGTGTTAGGGGCTACAGAACTTCAGGGAAGGAAGTCAGGCATGAGTGCTATTGTCATGCTGCCTGAACAACCTGTGGCTTTGAGATAAGGTCCCTCTCTGGTCATCTGTGGATGAAGTATGCACAGTTCCCCTGCCTAGCTCCCAGGCAGCTACACTTAAGCGAGGGTTTATAGATGCTGTACTTGATATGATATGTCCACTATATGTACACATTAGTTCTGTCATAAATACCCAAAACCTTTGAGTAACAACCATAAAGGGAAATTAGTAATTAACATACTAATTCAAGTTTTATATGTATATCTTCCAGCAATTAATATACTTATTAGGATTTTATTTGCATACTTTTCTTAAGTATGTGTAAAATTACAAGGGATTCACCCAGTTATTCTTTCAATACCCATCAAGAATCTATTACATACTAAGCACTCTATGATTTCAAGTTTTAATAATCATAATTGGCTTTCCATTCTTTCATTAAATAAATATTTACTAAGAACTTGCTCTGTCTATCAGGTATAGTTCTACACTCTGGAGAATCAGCAATATTATACTTTGGGAATACATTAGCCAAATATCCTTATCTTTGTGAAGCAATACATTGTTAATATACCAATATTAAGCAAGTGAAATATTTAGTATGATCATGTGTTACTTAACAACGGGGGAATATTCTGAGAAATACATCATCAGGCAATTTTGTCATTGTGTAAACATCATACAGAATACTTACATTAAGATGACTGTGATGTCACAAGGTGATATAATCTGATAGGATCACCATCATACATGTGGTCCAGCATTGACTGAATCAATCAATGTTATAAAGTTATGTATTAATTAGAAGTGTGACTAACAGTCTCAATTTGCCTGAGATTAGGGGATTTTCTAAGATGTGGGACTTTCTGTGCTAAAACAGGGACAGTCCTGGACAAACCCGATGCCTGGTCACATGATTGTTAGGTGGACGGGTACTAAATAGAAAAAAGTAGGGAAAGAAGATGGACGTATAATTGTAAATTAACAATTTGAGGCAGTCCTCACTGGGAAACTAGCACTTAAATGAAGACCTAAAGGAAGTGTGGAAGTGAACCACGTAGAAATCCAGAGAAAAATTATTCTAGACAGAAGGAATAACAAGTGGTGAAGTCCTGAGATAAGAATGTTCAAGGACCAAACTACAAAGATATTATTAGAGTAGTTGAGTGGAAGCACAAAGCACATGAGATTAAAGTGATAATAAGACATCAGAGCTTGTCTGCCCTTGCAGGATATTTTAACAATTCTGGATTTTACCCTGCATGAGTTTAAGCAGAGGAGTGACGTATCTGGCTTGTTCATGTTTCAGCAGAATAATTTTGACTGCTCTGTTTAGAATTGGCAGTGAGGGGACAAGGGATGGGCGCAGAATGACCTGTTCAGCAAGAGATGATGGTGACTGGTTCAGAATCCAGCAAGAGAGGTGGTAAGATGATGATGTGAGATTCTGGTCACATTTTGAAGGAAAAGCCAATAGGATTTGGCTGTTGGGTTAGATGTTGGGCGTGAAAGAAAGAATAATTAAGTGATGCTCAAGTTTTTTTGTCTTGAATGCCTGGATGAATGAGAACATCATTACCTGAGTTAGTGTGGAGTGGGGAGATATCCAGATCATGTCTAGCTTCAGACATGTTGGACTTGACATGCCCAGTGGACATCTGAGTGGATGTTGATAGGGGAGACTAGTATGTATCCAGTTTAAGGCAATCAGAATCTAGCAAAGGAGACTGAGAAGAAACAACCAAACAGAGAAAGAAAAACCAAGGGAGAGTGGGGGTCTGCAAGCAAGGTGAAGAATGCACTTTAGGAGGAGGGATTGTCAACCATGTCAGATTCCGCTGATGGGCCAAGTAACACTTGAGTGTTGCTTCCAGACAGGTCATGGGTAACCTTGAAGAGAACACTTTCAGTGGAATGGTAAGGGGAAAAATTCTGGCCAGAGGAGAGAATAGAGGGTGATGAGTCAGAGGTAGCAAGTGTAGTAACTTTTCCAAGGAGTTTGACACAAAGGAGGTAGGAGATGGGCCACTAGCTGGAGAGGGATGCACAGTCGAAGGAGTTTGCATGTTCACAATAAGGAAAATCACAGCATGCAGGTTGTGGTGGGAACAACCAACCACAGAGTGAAATTGCTGATACAGGAGAAGGAGAGGGTTTGCTAGGTGAGATGTGAAGGAGTCCCCAAAGCAAGAGGAAGGATTGGCCTTGAATGGGACATAGAATTTCCTCCACAGTAACTGGGGGAAGACTGAATATGTGGACCCAGATCCTAGTGGTTGTAGCTTCTGGGGACTTTCCTCTAGTTGCTTCTATTTCCTCAAGAAAAATAGGAATAGAACCTCTGGCTGAGACCCAACAGGGTGGAGTGAGGGTGAGGGTGGAGAATAGTCACATAGAAGTGTGAATAGACTTGGGAGATGGAATTGGATTTCTTGCTGCACTAAGGGCCCATCTGAATTTAACTGAGACCTGTCATCAGGGTGAGTGTATGAGTATGTGTGCATGAGTGTGGTACACATATACTGTGTGATCTGTGCAAACACGAGAGTAAGCTAAGGGCTGGGTTTAGCTTGATTTGATCACTTGGTTAGGGTGGTTATGGTAAGATCTCTGTTATGAGAATGGTATTTCTCTTGCTGCAACCCTAGACTTTAAGCTGGGTTAGTGTTAGAATAGGCAAAGGACAGTGAAGAGGTGACAGGACTGATAGAAATTGGGTCTCAGACGCAGAGGAGTGTACGCATGGGCAAGTATTCTTAAATGTTTGTTTCCAATTATTTCCTTTATTGCCTTCTCCTCTTTCTAGCACTCACCATAGTCAACCTGGCCACAGGTGTGTAAATTTAATAAAATAAAAATTGAGGTATTTCCTCCCTGCCATCTAAGAGCTTACTACCTGGCTACTTTTCATTTTGATTAGACAATAGATTTACCCTCTTTGGAAATGTCTTTTGACTTTAGTCATGTTTAAAGAAGAAGAATGACCCAAATAACCAGATATCTTACACTGTCCACTGTCCTTTCTAAGCCTGAAGACTCAGTTGGTGTCTCCTCAGTGCTGAGAAATCCTCGCTTTCCCAATGGTATGAAGCTTTCCTCAGCCAGTGTCACTGGCCAGCCCACACAAGGCCAGGGCCAGGAGGAGTCTGGGCTGAGGTTCCTTTCTCTTCCTTAACCTTATCTTCTTCACTCTCCCAATTTACTTTGCTTAGATAGACCCAGTCTCACTTTGATAAATAACCTTGTTTTAAATTGCTCTCTTGTGGCCAGTCACAGATACTGCGCTCTGGGTACCACTTCTGCCTGATTGGCTTTGTCACTAGCCAAGTCTGAGCTTCTGACTGAAAATAACTGAGATGTTGGCTCCCCCTAAAGGGGACGCAAAGATTTAAAAAGTAGTGTTAACACTTAGTTGGGTTTTCGACTGAAGTTTCTTATTCATTCTTTTTAAAATTGATGAGCAAATTTTTCAAAGAAATAAATCGATATTATTAACATACTTTTCAGAATCTCTAGGGGCCATATCAGGAAAATAGTATTCTGCTTGACCTCGAAGTACTTAGAATTTCTAGATACAAATTTCTAGATACAAACAAAAAATATAAAATTTACTTACTTTCTGCCTTAATTATAGAATGAGGTAGGAGAACATAAGAAAAGTTAAGAGTTTCAAATATTTTAATTACTAAGAATTTCAGTCCTCCCTTTAGTATGGTTTTTCTATGTAGCACACAATTTTAACTGCCAGTAAAATTAATTTGCTGGTATATATATATTGGAACATCTAGATTCTCATTTTCATTTTTGTTGCTACTAAGAGGATAACTTGTCCAAAACTTGAAGTCATTTGGTGAATATTCTCTGGAGCAAAATCAGGAGAATATTTTATTTTATTTTATTTTCTAAAAAGTAATTGTTACATTTTTTTTTTCATTTCTTATCACTGCTTTTATTTCAGTGGTAAGAAAAATTTAAAATTCTAGTAGAACCATGGAATATACCACAAATGTGTTTGATTAATATGGAGTTCACACCTAATCCATTCAGTTAGAGCAAAGCTCTTTTGACACAGTAACTTCTATGGGAAGGTATTTTGGCAAGCATTATCTGAACAAGCTCACTAAGGTAAAGTCATCCTTTAGGAGCCAAGTGTCAACTCTGAGAGGGAAGAGCAAGTCTCAGGATAACCTCTCCAGGCCAGATGAGAATCAGTTGTGTGTAGCCACTCCCAAATTTTAAGGGTTATGTGTTCTGAAAATCTCCATAGTAGAATTTACAGTTGAGAAACAAAATTTCAGAGAAGTGGGGAGGGAGAGACAAAGTGGCACTGAATACATGAAACCTTGTATAAATATTCAATTCACCAGAATTTTTTAAAAAAATAGCCACATCTGAAATAAAGAAAATAACAATGTACTTTATGCATCGAGAATTTGCATATTGGGCACCATGCAAACTGCACTATCCCTATACTTGTAACACCCCATATTTTAGGAGAAAACTGTTACCCTGGAGACCTTGATAAGTCATTATGGAGACAAATCGAGACACAGTGCTCATAGATAATTTCTCTCATCAGCACAGTGAGCCTTCCAGGCCAGCCCATCCAGGCTCTGACCAAGCCCAGGGCCAGAAGTACCCAGGGTGATCTCCTCTGAGCCTACCCTGATACCATACTGGAGGGACTAGGCCTGATGGGAGACTTTAGGGGTTGGGTGATAAACTCAGAAATATTGGTTCCAAACTAACAAAACAAGACCTCAATAATTCTAGCAACTTCCAATTCTGTGACTCACTCTTACAGGCAGTGGCACTGTCTGAAATGGGGCCAAATGGAAGCCAGGAGGCTGGAAGCTCTCCTGACTCTTGTGGTGCAGAGGATCCTTCTTCATAACAGCCTTGCAGCTCTGACTTTGGTGGTGGTTAATGGGTTGGTGACTTGGGGTTAGAGAAGAAGAGGAAATAAAGAACAATGTGGTGTTTGGTTTTTGTTTGTGATGCTCAGATAAGGAGTCAGTAGGTAGAACTGATTCAATTGGAGATGGTGCTCTCATGCCAACAGATGTATTCATTCAACCTGAATACTAGAAACTAGGCATTGCACCTGAATTTGCTAAGGGAGCCATCACAGTCAAGATGCATCACCATGATTTCTCTCCATGGTGAATTAACACCGTGGTTTGCTCTCTTTTCAGGTCCTCAAGTATGTTCCATGTAATGAAGCACAGTCACTACATCTCTCGATTTGGCAGCAAACTTGGGTTGCAGTGCATTGGTATGCATGAGAATGGCATCATATTTAACAATAATCCAGACGTCTGGAGAGCAGTACGACCTTTTTTTATGAAAGGTAAGCGGGGGCTCAGCTACATACTTCTATTTTATCTATGAATGTGACTTTCTTAAAATTATATTTTAGGGGCTGGGGCTGTGACTCAGTAGTAGTGCACATGCCTGGTATGTGTGAGGCACTGGGTTCGATTCTCAGCACCACATATTAAAAAAATAAAGATCTATCAGCAACTAAAAAAATTTTTAAAATTATATTTAAAATTTTGCTGTCTCACAGCTTTGAAATAATACTAATAAGAAGAAGGGCTAATGCTCTTTGTACCTTTATTATATCTTAGATATTGTTCTAAACACTTGATATTTTAATCCCACAGCAACCTTATATGATGAATTCTCTTATCACCTGCATTTTCCAGAAGAGAAAACTAAGGCATAGAGAGGTTAAGAAACTTCTCCAAGGTTCCAACATTAATAAATCGTAGTCCCCAAGATGTAACACCAGAGCCTACATTTATAACCACCACAAATTCGGTTCTTCCTGTGAACATAGAAAGCAAATTCATGAATGTGAAGAAGAAAGAGATTGGTATACGTAGGATCATTTCAATTAAGAATTCAGTGTCAGCCTTATGTTTGATTAAACATGATAGAACAGAGTGGTTGTTGAATCATTAACAATCATGACATTTCAGGAGAAAACAATTTGTGAAGAAAATTAGAAAACTTTAGGACAGGGAAGGGCTGTGTATCTTGCCTCATCTGGTCTCTTTGAGTTTTATAGTTAAGAAAATAAAGTCCTAGAGGAGTGTGATTTTCACCCAGGAAGCACAGCAAGTCCTGCAGGAGACCTGATTTCAAGCTTCCTTATTCAGTGACTTTCTTCTTTTACTATGTCTTCCTCAAAAGGAAACTGTTGGGAATATTAACGCCCATCCTTTGACATTAATATTAAGCATCAAGAAAGATAAGTGTGCCCTGGAAATCTTGTCAGTGATGTGATCTGGAGCTAGGTGGACTTTAGATACTCAGTATTCTTCCCTTAGTCAGCCTCTCATATGATAAGTTTGGGTCACCTGGATAATCCACAATAATTTCTTCCTCTCAAGGACCTTCACTGAGTCATCCCTGCCAACTCCCTTTTTCCATTGTAACATATTAGTAGGTTCTGGGCAAATCAATATCCCCAGGCCTTACAATACTGCAGAATAGATTAATGTACAAGGGTAAGACTCTGGGTTATAGGTTGTTCATTCAAATCCCAGTGCTGTCACTAACTAGCTCTATGACCTTGGGCAAGTCACTTAGCTTCTCTGTACTTCAGTTCTCTTATTCACAGAAGTTGATAAACATTATAAAACTTACACTCTTGTGCTATTGTGAAGAACATATTAAATAATGCCTTAAGATCCCATAGAAGAGTAAATTTTATTTTACCTTGTCATTTGACTCTAAATAAATATGTGAACTAGTATTTAGGAAAGTGGTTAACTTTGGGATTGGGAAGGGGCAGGCCAGCACATGACCAAATACTGTCCTAGATGACAGTAATGCTCAAGGTATGCACAGTGCTGCAGAGCACAGACCAATGGGCCATCAAGCCACCAAGGTATAAAGAGAATTTCCAGAGGAGTGGATGCCTACCATGAATTTTGAAAGAAGTTAAAACTACTAATTAAGCAAGTATAACAAAGACATTCTAGGGGCAAGCAATAAAATATGCCAAAGCAAAGAAGGATAGATCAACATGACATATCCAGGGACCTGTAAATAATTCCTGGTACCTGGCTTGGATACATGCAGGGATGAGGTCACGTGGAGGGAGGGGTCAGATCACCAAACCCTTCTGAGGTTATCTCAAGAGCTTTGAGGAATCACTAAAGATTTTAGCAAAATGACATAGATCTATGTGTGTTTTTAGAAAAACTCCTCTGGCAGAGTGAATGATTAATTAGGGGAAAAAAAAGCATGATTTTTAGCAGTGAGAACAGTCAGGAGCTACTGAAGTGATTCAGGATGGATGGAGGGGAGTCCACAGGTATATGAAATGTTAAAAGAGTAGAACCTAAGGCCAGTGTGGTGGTGCATACCTGTAATCCAAGCTTTTGGAGAGGCTGAGGTAAGAGGATCACAAGTTTGAGGCCAGCCTTAGCAACTAGTAAGACCTCAAAATTAAAAAATGAAAAAAAAGGCTTAGGATATAGTTCAGTGGTAAAGTGCCCCGAGGTTCAATCCCCAGTAAACCTCCCCACCACACACACACAAAGAGAGAGAGTAGAAACTGTAGTACTAGCAAATTAAATTAATCAAAACATCTTTGTGAATTTTTGATTAGATTAGCCCTATTTATGTAAGATCAGATTTTTTAAATAAAAGTGCTGCAGTTGCACCCAAAATTAAATGTCCCAAACTACCAAGCTAAGGGCTTATTGAAAATTCATTGTGGTGTCTCACTCTTTATAGTCAGTGAGAGTCCTGAGCATTTTTTTGAGGAATCTCTTTTTGGAGTTAGGTTCCTTGTTGGTTTTTCAGATACACCAGAAAGGTGGACACAGGTTTTGGTATCAAAACCAGTAACGTTAATGAAATTTTAAACTTACTGGGTGTGTCTACAGAAAAAAAGCTAAGTGCACCTTAGGAAAGGGTTTATCCTAGAAGGTGGTGGAAGAGGCAGGAGGGTGGAAAGAAGGTATATGTTTCCTGAAAGTACCAAAAGTTTGTCCATGTTGAAGAAATTTGATTACTTGCTCAATTTTTTTTGGCCTAGATAAATAATATTTTTAAACACATTTTTAGAAATTAAATAATATAATCACTACTGCCTATAAGAAATGATATTACATTCTGCCTATCAATGTGAAATGTGCCTTCAAGCTCTTAGACACAGAAGCAAATCATGTATCACCCTAGAAGAAAGCCACCAGTGATTTTGGAAGCTAACCTTCCATGAATAGGGTGAATCATTAAGGAATTATTTGTTCCACTTGCAGATGTGATAGCCACCCAGAGAACAACAATGCCTTGGCCCTTCCTGTCTGCTGGGTTCTTCCTGAAATCAGAAAGAATGCTCCTGTCTCAATCTTCTTTTTTACATGTATGGAAATCTTAAAGGTCTAAACCACTCCTCAGGGCTCCTTTCTCAGGTGCAAAGTCTGCCTTGATGTATGGGCTGTTGCCACTTCAAAGTTTTTGTTGTTGTATTGTTGTTTTATTTTATTTGTTTCCATTCTTCTGAGAAAGTGACCTTCTGGAGTTACCTACAAAGTTCCTCAGAATTTATCATCTTGTCTGGAGGACTTTTAACAGCAAGTCTGAATAATAAAAGGACCTACAAAAAGAGACTACTCCTAAAGGAAGCTTTAAAAAAACATATCAAAGAGGGGCAGAGGAGCTTAAGCTTTCATTATGGACCTATAAGCATCAGGACCTATAAGCCAAAGCCACTGCCCAGGTGGTCAGGAACAAAGCAAAGAGGAGGGCAGGGCCAGTTCACTCTACCTGTTTTCCTTCATTCAGCCTCCATTTGGCAAACAATGTATCAAGGGCCTGGTGTACTGTTGACTAATAAGCAGTTGCCGCTGAATTTCCAGTTCCATGGGAAACATTGAAAAGCAAACTAGGAATCACTTAGCAAGTCGTTGGTTGAGTAAAATAAATCTGGAAGCAATTTGAAAAGAAATTGAAATTAAGACAAGGACATTTTTGGTGATTTGAAAGGCTAGCATTTTTACAACTATAATGTACAATTAAACAGGAAGCACCTTGGGTCAAATAGTTAAGGGTCATTTTCACTGGTTCTATAGTGGTATCCTGCCACCTGTTGAAACAGAAAATAATTATAATCCAGGCCAAATCCAAACTGTCTTTAAAGGGCAAGTGTATAAAACAAATATGAAAAATCACTGATCATGACTATGACCACAAATATTAAATGTTTCATTTGCAATCTCACAAATAATTTGCCAGAGCATGAAGGAAAGCTTAAGTTTGAATAGCTTGTTTAAAATAATATCCATTCATCCACTTTTAACCATAAAGTTAAAGGAATGCTTGTAGAAAATTAGGAAAATATGGGAAGTATAAAAAAGAGTACAAAAATTTCTAACCTATCATTGAATGCAAAAGTGAGGACAATTGAGCTCCAAACACAAAATGCCAAAATAGCCTGGTGGTTTGTGAGCCCTGGAGTGAGTGACAGCTGATTCTCTGATGTTTGTTCTTTAGCTTTGACAGGCCCTGGCCTTGTTCGAATGGTGGCAGTTTGTGCTGAATCCATCATAAGGCACCTGGACAGACTGGAGGAGGTCACCAATATGTCGGGCTACATTGACGTGTTGACCCTCATGCGGCGCATCATGCTGGACACCTCTAATATGCTTTTCTTGGGGATTCCCTTGGACGGTACTGAACTTTTCACTCTTGTGATTTGACATTCTGCCCTTGATGAAACAAGAGGATAAGAGGGATAGCCAACTAAACATGTGATGTTTTGTACAATTCTCTTGTTTAAACATTTCTAAGTATTCCTAAGGCACCCCAGCCCCCAATGTTTCTGCCTTGTTCACTTATAAGATATAAATTTCCATGAAGTAGAGGCCAGCCTTTCTTTGGTATCTATCCTCATTGCTTTAAGAAATAGCATTATACTCTGATTAAGACTTAGCAGATAATTTGGTCATTAACGTATCCTACCACCAATAAAACAGGTATATTTAACCATTTCTAACCATTCTTTTGGGCATGATATATGTGTGTGTGTGTATGTATATGCATGTACATATATGTGTGTATACATACATGTATATATGTGTGTATATATATAGATATAAAAGCTATCAAATATGAAAACTTGATTCTGTTTGATAAAAATGGTGGTGATGCTGCTGCTGATGATAATGATAGAAATGATGATGATAGCTGCCATTAATTTAGTATCTACTATGTACCAAACAGTATGAAAGATTGCTTTCCATGCATGGTTGCCATTTAATATTTATAATAACCCTGACAAGATGTCTCACTTTTCTCACTGTTACATAAGTGAATACTAAAACTTTTTCACCAAAAAGCAATGAAATAATTGAATATGTTAATTCCATTCTATTATTGATGTTACATCCAGGTTAATGTGATTTTTCCTGAATTAATTTACAGCAGTGTTCATTGATTCACACTTTCATTCAGTAAATACATATTGATGATCTATTTTATGCTAGGCACTGTTCTTGGTTCTGAGGATACAGAAATAATATAGGTGAAGTTTTTACCTTCAAGGAGCTTACATTCTAAGGGAGATATGGACAATAAAACAAGTAAATGTTGAAAATTTATTAGACAATAATAAGTGCCTTGAAGTAAAAACAAAGCAGGGTAAAAAAAGAGCAAAGTGGGAGCAGTGGGGTGGGCATGGCTGGTACAGAACAGGTGATCAGGAAAGGCCTCTAGGGAGAGGACATCTGAACGTGGCCTGAATAGAGTGAAGCCACAAAGCCATGTGCAGATCAGAAGGAAGAACAGTCCAGGCAGAGCAACCATACATGAAATTTAGCATTTGCCCAAACCAGCTGACATAGACCACTCATGGCCTGGTTTGTCACATTTGAGCAGGTAGACAAGCTGTAAGCTTTCTGTTTCTCCTCCCCAGCTCCCATAGCTTCATCTCTTCTGCTCTAACTGGTCCTTATTAGAGCTATAGAAATTTCATCTGACTGCCAGGTGGACAGGAGCCTCCATTCACTCTGAACTATTTTAGTCACACCCTCTTGCTTGATCCCTTTCCATCCTGTTCTACATACCTCACTGCCCTGCTCCTTGGTTCTCCCAAGTTTCAATTGTTAGGAAGGATTCTGTAAAGGGAATTGAAAATCTCTCTGTTAACTCATGAGTATAGAATGTGATGTTAGAAAACCTGCAGAATGCATATGGGGATATGTTTATTTCCATTTATACTGGGAACCTGTTAAACTCTCAACTTGCCTTTGGGACCCGGTGCAACAAAGAAGAGCATCATCCTGAGATCAGACAGAACTGGGCTCCAGCCTGAGGATCTTCCTGTCACACTGGCTGTATGATGTTGGTCAAGCCTCATTTTCTATGAATTGCAATTTTTTTTCATATGCAAAATGATAAAACTACTACTCCCCTGGTAAGATGACAAGAATTAAATCAATCCTTTGTAAAGCACCTAGCATGATGGCTGATATTTGATAGTTGAAAAATGTTTAGTTTTTGTCTAGTGGTACTCATGTGACTAAATTGTTAACTGGTGATGGAACCTTGCTCAGCTTAGAGTCCCAAACTGGAAGGAGAATCTGTAGGGAATATTCTCTGCTCAGAATACTCTTCTTAGGCTCACATTTTGCTCAATGGCTCTATTTTTGTTTTTGTTTTTCAGAAAGTGCCATCGTGGATAAAATCCAGGGTTATTTTGATGCATGGCAGGCTCTCCTTCTCAAGCCAAACATCTTCTTTAAGATTTCTTGGCTATACAAAAAATATGAAAAGCCTGTGTAAGTAACACAAGTTTGGAAGGTTTATAAGTGCAATCAGAAAGAATTTTTTTGTTTCTTATTTTCCATTGTGTCTTTGCTGTTGTTGGCCTCTTTGGTAAGTTTTACATTTCTAGAGCCCACGGGGATTTTTGATTAAGTTGCTAATGAAACACTAATAGCAATTTAGCTGTTTTTAGCTAGATGAGAGAGTAAAAAAGCCATTGGCCAACCAGCTTCTCAGCCAGGGTGCTGAGTGTGTGGTCCGAGAGCTCATTTCTGGAACAAGGACACTGCAGTGTACTTGAGAAAGGTTGGCTAATCCTATCATTAATATCTGTGAGAACTCTCTTTTCATATCTGGAAAAATGGAAACACAGAACCAATTTGTAGTTGTATTGCTTCTGAATGCATTTAACATAATTCAAACCAAAGAATTGATAATAGTCCCCAAAGAATTATTTCATAATGACTATAATGAACTTCAATAAAATGTGTGATTTTTTTGTTACATATTTTTTGTTTTGGAGGTCCTGAAATTGTCATTAAATGGCATTGTTTTATTCTTAAAGTAGTCCAGTAGAAAACTGGACAAATGCCCTAAAGCTTACAGACTAATTATGGGTTTTTAGAGTATAGCTCCCCAGCTGCCAAACACTGCCTCCTCTGACCACCAGTGGAAAACCCATGGGATCCAGAGGCAGAAAGTCCCAGTTTGTATCCTCCCCTACCATTTAGAACTAAATGGCCTTGGGGAGTTATTTAAAGTAAAATACAAACCCCTCTAGAGTGGGAATATAGGTTTATGAGGTCATATATAGAGAGCAATGAGCTCTAAGCACAGCAGAGTGGGCATTAAATATGTTAATTTCCCTTTTTCCTATATTTATATCTTCTTTAAGCATCCCTAACCATCTTAAGTTCTTCAATTCTAAAATGTCCCAGAGTGTTTTGAAGATCCAATTTTATTCTTTCTGTGGATTTTGAAATTCAATAATATTAGTTTCTGGGGAGGAACCTAACTTGATGTTGCTTTGCATGATCTCATGTGGTTGGTGAGTTTTAGGTAAATGATTTGCACAGTTGGTTCTTTACACATTTCCTCTTCTTTCACAGAGCTTACTGTGACTTTAATGAATTAGATAAAGGATTTATCTCTTCACTGTGATCAGACTTGGTGGTAGTGGTTTTCTAAAGAGTCTCATTGTGTTCTTTTAAGTTATCAGTTTAGCCTTGGCCTTGGCCATAGAACAAAGCAGTAAACTGTATATTTATTTCTCTCAGAAGTCTATAGAAAGGAGCTCAGCAGCAATTCCTCTGTATATCACAGTCGCCAATGATTAGTGCTCTAATTTATATCTCCTATAGTAATACAGACCTAGAGAAATCTTTTAATCTCTTCCACCTAACCCTTAAAATAATGTCAGTACTTTTTAAAAATACATTTATGGGAAGATAAATGAACACCTACCTCTACTTATTCGATTTTATATTTTTGCTTCTTTTAATTCCAAATATCATAGTAGTATTGTTTTCTATGTTTTGTTTTTGTAAATGTAAAGCTTTTCAGCCCCATAATACCTTGGAATAGGTGTTTATAGTCTAGGCTGGTAGCCTAGTCTTTAAAAATGTATTCAGAATTCCAAACAACTGATTCACAGGTACATTCTCGATATACATGCTTGTAAGTCAGAGATTTCCTTGTTCCTGAAAACTGTCATTTAACTCAATTCTTCCAGTTTTGAAGGGCATATAAATTCAGATGCATACATTTATGCAGTTATTGGGGCCAACTTGTAACTTGAATAGGAAAGATTCTAATTTGCATTCACAGTCCACTAATGCAAGATTTTGAATTCTGGCTCAGGAAGGAAGTATATGCTCAATAGTGGCTGCAGTTCTATGAAAGTACTGTTTATGAATTCAGAATGTAGGGGCATCCAAACACCTTCCAGGTTATTTTGGGCCTAGTGCTCCAGTAGAAATGCTATCAGCATTCTAAGCCTACTTGAAAAGAATCATCATAGCTCACCAATTGAATGGATATCTGTCTTCCTTATGTAGAAGATGCTCAACCAATATATGCTGAATAAATGGATGGGTAGGTGAATGAATGAATGTGAATTCATCTTTGGTAGATATCTGGAAGGGTATGTATGTGTGTGTGTGTGTGTGTGTGTGTAGGTACACTCATAGAGATACACAATACATGCATCCTCATTTATAGTCACACAATTACTCTCTTAAAGTGTTTAAATATCTTCCTTATGATGTTGAAAAGAAATTTTTTTTAAATGAGGAACATTGATGGAAAATTTGTCTCTTACTTGATGAACTGTACTAAAAATAGAGGCTATTGATTTGTGACCATATCAGTAAGAATTTGAAATAAAGATATGTACATTTAACGTAACATAGAATATTGTCCCCTAGGATGAGGGAACAATATGCTTACACATGAACACATACATGTAAGGACTAAGACAAGAATGGAATTTAGACCGCAAGGTGACCTTATTGTTCATCTGGTTTGGTCCTTTTACTTTAAAGGAAACATAAGGCTCGGAAATGTAAAGTAGGTTACATAGAAAGTGAGTAACCTGGGCTAGAACCTCACCGGTTGTCCAAGGAGCTCTCCCTTTACCACAATATGCATACACATATTCATGCTACTACTTATTCCTAGTGCTTACAGTATGGCAAAAGTCACAGGTATGAGAATAAATATCAAGAATAGTACCCACCTGAGTTTATTGTCTAGTATAGGAAATTTATACTCAATAGTCTTCAGGGCCTGGCAAGTAAAACTGGGCTGTGAGGCTATAAGAAGGCAGGAAATGGAAGCGCCTACGACAAACTGAAGAGTGCTTGCCCCAACCAAAGACATACATGGGCTCTTACTTTAAACACTGCCTACCAAATCAGAAGTTGCAAAGCATGGCTGAGTGTAGCCTTTGGTATCAGTGTTTAACCCTTAACTAAAAAGTCACAGCTTTAATTTTACTCCCTAGTTAATTCTGATGCCTTAACAAAGTATAACCATATGTAATTTAGGAATGTTAGTGAAGAAATAAAATATGAATTTCTTTATTCATGAGCACCACTGGCTTCAAGGGAAGCAGGACATTTTGTTTAAACACACAGGAAAACAATGTTTTTCTAGAGGCTTAAATTGAGATTATATTTTGACTTTTTTTTCCAGCAAGGATTTGAAAGATGCCATAAATATTTTGGTAGAAGAAAAAAGGCAAAAGGTTTCCACAGCAGAGAAGCTAGAAGACTGTATGGATTTTGCCACTGAATTGATTTTTGCTGAGGTACTGATCTAGACTAACCATAATTCCCTACCCAACATGTTATGACTGTTCATGTACATGTGTGTGTAAAGATTCCCTTTTATAATAGTTGCATATTTCTGCTTTTAAGTATTTTCTCTAGAAGTACTGTAAACCCAACCCAAATATCCCATGCGGACATTCTAGTAAAACTGGTCTTTAAAATTGAAAACTCTTCTGTACTACAATACAGCATATGAAATCAGGAAAAAGGAATATTAAAGACCTTCAATATAATCATTCCACTGCATTTAAGGGAGTTCATCCAGAACCCTTTTCAGATACTCAAATGCAAGGATGCTTAAGTCCCATATAGAAAGCAGAATATTTACATAAAACCTATACATATCTTCCCACATACTTAGAATCATCTCTAGGTTGCTTATTTGAATATAGTGTAAGTACTATGTAAATGTTGGTATACTGTATTGTTTAGGATATAATGACAAGAAAAAAGGTCTCTATATGTTTACTACAGACACAATTGTTTTTTCAAGTAGTCTCAATGTCCAGGTGGTTGTTGAATCCATAGATTGGAACCCAAGGATATAGAGGCTAGACTACATGTAGATAATTGTCTAAACTGTTCATCATTCAGCTGTAGATTGCCACGTGAAATGTTGATAGTCAATTATAGAGACATGTAATTTCTATAATTTCATTTTATTGAGGTTGTTGAGCTTGAAGGTCACTTCGCTTCATTTTATTGAAACTGATTACTTTTTCAATTTTCCCCCTCTTTGAATTGTTCAGAAACGTGGAGATCTGACAAGAGAGAATGTGAACCAGTGCATATTGGAAATGCTGATTGCAGCACCTGACACTATGTCTGTCACTGTGTACTTCATGCTGTTCCTCATTGCAAATCACCCTAAAGTTGAAGAGGCAATAATGAAGGAAATACAGACTGTTGTTGGTAAGAATTTATCAAATAAATAATAGAATTTAAAAGATAATCCTTTTGATTGTCAATTTCTTATGTCCTAAGAAGGAGGTCAAACACAGAATTCTTTTTATAATCCACTTGGAGAAAAATAAAACAAGTAATTCTATCACAGTTGGTCTATGCCAGGTAGGTTGAAAAGATGGTTCTCTCTGTTTTTTACTATAAAAATAATACATGCTCATTGGGAAAATTCAGAAAACAGAAAGAAGTATAAAGTAGAAAATGATAGTTCCCAATCCTTTCCACTGTCCTTCCTGACCTTATTGTCATTCCCAGAGCTAACCAGTGTTAATTATTTGCTGTTTATTCTTCAAGATCTTTTTCTATGGGTATACAAACCCAACTCATGGTTGGATTTGTCTTTCAAAAACTTGGGATTGTGTATGCTCTGCCTGCTTTATCAGTTCAAAGGCCTTTGTGGGTCCACCCAGGAAAAATGGCTGCTATTTACAGCATTGTTTCTGGATTTCAAGCAACTCAGTCACAAATGAACTTCCAATTGGTGACAGAAGGAAGAGGAGAGAATAACAGCAAAGACAAGGGAGTGAAAAGTTTCCTTCTGGGCTCCAACCCAGTGAGGCTCACTCTCATCCCTAATGCCTCTCCTCCTCCTCTGCAGGGAGCCACCAGGTCTCCCTCTACTTTTCCATGGCCCTGCCTGTTTCAGCACCAACCTGTAGTAACTCTCCACAAAAGCATTGCCACAGTCATAAGAATCAGACAGCCTTCTGGGAAAAAAACAGAGGTCCTTATTTGGAATCTCCTTCATATTGGTAATCTTTGCAGGAACACACTTGGGCTGGTGGGAGGGAGAGGACACATCAAGCCCAGTGGAGTGAAGAGAAGGCTGGAGTTCAGGGCATAGAGGGAAATTGCTTTTGAGACCATAATACATAAGCCTTTAATATAACTTTGATACAATTTCCTCAAGAGGTGAAACGTGTTTGTACTTATTGATGTTCCCCTGATCCTTCAGCAGACCTCTGCAAAGACAGAAAAACAGCAGAGCCACTTGCACATATGTCTGTCCTCCTTCCTGTACTCATTTGCTTCCTAGTGGATGCCTTTGGTTACCTTCCCCATCATCCTCCCTTCTACCTCTCCACTCCAGTTAAACATACTCCACTACATCCTTGGGTACAAAGACCAATACATGTAGGGCAGGGCTTCTTACTTTGGTTAGAGTTCTCTGACCAATTAGATCATTCTTAGATGGCTTAGTTGTATAGGACACAGGGATGACTCAGAACTCTGGGCCAGTTCTGATTCTTCAAAAGTGGTGGCCCATTTGAGGAAATGCTGAAGCTCTGCCACCTCTGGGACTAATTCAAGCTTCTTTGAGCAATGTCATACCAGTCTGAGGTAGTGAGTGTGAGTGCCCATCAATCCCCAGTCCAACCAGGACTGATCTGAAATACCTATTTTATTTTGGAGGGGAGTTCTTGTCACACTACTGTGAAAGGTTGTTCTTGATGAGATGTGGAGGGAATATCAGTGAGACATGTGGGCAGGTGACTGTACAATAACCAGAGGAAAAAATGTTGTTGCAATGGATTAAATCCACTGTCTCACTTTGACTGTGCAGCAGCCCATGTACCCTTTTTTGGGGATGGTTGTGCTGTGAGTTTGCTCACAAGTCCAAAGAGGAAATGAATGACTCCTAGAATTTAGAGTTATGTGCAAAAGTCAGATTTCAGAAGCCAGGCAGATTTGAATGGTGTATGAAGGGTACTAGATATGGTCCACAGGACCCCTTAGAAGGGGTAATCAGCCCCTCATCTTCAGCCCACTGTTGCCCTGTGGGAATGTGGGTCCAGTGTTTCTGACTTTTCAGGAAATCTCAACGTTTCTATGAAATCTTCCAGGTTTTAAGATAACTGTCTTGGAATCTGAATTTTTATAGACATAATTGTTTTTCAGTCAAAAGCAAACTGTTCTATGGAAAAAAAAATAGGAGTGTCAGTACCCAACATATATTGAAACTAACATTACCTTCCTTGCCCACTTTTCTCTCACAGGTGAAAGAGAGATAAAGATTGACGATGTGCAAAAACTAAAAGTGATGGAAAACTTCATTTACGAGAGCCTGCGGTACCAGCCCGTCGTGGACTTGGTGATGCGCAAAGCCTTACAAGATGATGTGATTGACGGCTACCCCGTGAAAAAGGGAACTAACATTATTCTGAATATTGGAAGAATGCATCGACTCGAGTTTTTCCCCAAGCCTAACGAATTTACTCTTGAAAATTTTGAGAAGAATGTAAGAGCCCTTCTTAAAACTGAATGTGCCACTCTCGGCCAGTTTCAACTGTTGAATCTGCTCTTGGTCTGTGTTTGCACCACACGCTTTTCATTCTTCTTACCCATTCCTGTCTTCCAGCTCACTCGGAGCACACATGTTCCCTGGCCCTAAGCCATGGCTACCAAGTTCTTGCTTAAGCCAAGGTTGCTGGGTCTCCAGCTCTGCAAAATATCTAAGTGGGAGCAACATGGTGGCTCAACATGTGCAAAATCTAGGCCCCTAATTTTGCTAAAGTGAGATAAATTATATTGAACCCAGTGAATCTACTTTTCCCATTTAAACTGATCACTTTGTCATCATCCAGATTCAGCTAGCACTATTTAAGCCAAAGAAATCCATTTCTGCTTTAGATAGAAATTAAATGAGACCAAAAGATCTGACTTTGGTTCATCAAATAGCCTTATGAGCAGCAGATCTCATTCTAAGTAAGACTCTATAATAGAGTGGAAGAGATTCTGCTTTTTCTATGCTTGACTTATATTGGAGATTCTGCCTCCATTCTGTCAAATTTTAGGCAGCAGTATTTTTTTAATTTTTAAAAAATTTTTTGGTTGTCAATGGGTCTTTTATTTTATTAATTTATTTATACGTGGCACTGAGGATCAAACCCAAGATCTCACGAGTGCTCTACCACTGAGCGACAACTTCAGCCACAACAGTATTTTTAAGCCTGAATTATCCAGATAATTCAGTGCTCTCTTTCCCCACTTGCATATATTGTAGAAACATGAAGTTAATTCAGTACTTTAATTTATCCTGTTTCTATATAGGCAATCTAGATAATATCACATAAATCAGTCAATTGGTCAAAAAAATGTATTGAACATCTATGTGCCAGGCACTATGTAAATTCAGATGTGAACAAGACAGACGGACATGGTCCTCATTAATTTTCTTCATAACTAAAAACAGTTGCTTAGTACTGACATTTTTTGTCTGCATTTGTCCCTTTTCATCAGGCTTATATGGCATCACACAGAAACAGTCTTTGCATTGGGGACTTGCAAAGCAGCAGGAGAGCTGTGGGTACTCTCCAGAGGTAGTTGAGTACCCCAGCATTGCCTGTAAAAAGTTGATTTGCTTTGCTTTACTCTAGCTCATTTACATGAATGGCAAAAGTGGAGACTGAGGGTGAGTCTGCACAAAAGGTGAATCACAATGGATGAGAAAGGGGTTTATTTATTCAGTCCTTCAAGTCAGTGAAGAAGCAGTATGGCTGAGACCCCAAAACAGAGTGTTCTGACTGACCAGTGTTTTCAGAGTGAAATCAGAGACTGTATTGCATGACTCTGGCCTTGAACACTCTGGCTAATGGTCTGATCATTTTCATAGGTTCCTTACAGGTATTTTCAGCCATTTGGCTTTGGGCCCCGCAGCTGTGCAGGAAAGTACATTGCCATGGTGATGATGAAAGTTGTCCTGGTTACACTTCTGAGGCGATTCCATGTGAAGACATTGCAAGGAAAGTGTGTTGAAAACATACAGAAGAGAAATGACTTGTCCTTGCACCCAGATGAAACAAGTGATCTGCTAGAAATGATTTTTACCCCAAGAAATTCAGACAAGTGCATCAAACACTAAAGAAGGTTGTTCAGTGACTACTCTGGAACATTTCTCATCAGTAGCTCACATGGGAACCATTCACCCTTGCCAGGTAATATCATTCTCACAGTGAACATTTGGGCCCAAGGCATACCTCCTATGGGCCTTCAGCAAGATGGGAGCTAAGGGACATCTACCCTCGTCCAAGCTAGAGAACCAGGATGCAAGAGAAAAGAGGCCATGGGGAAAGTAGTCAGTGAAGAAACTACAGTCCAAAAGGACCAATTCCACAAAATATGCTTTGGAAAAGATGAGCAATCCACTACACCTACATCTGGTTTCCTACAGGATCTCCACTGCCCTGCCCCAGGGCATTTTAATGTCTGGGCAGAAGCACTGGAATTGATTAGAAAATCCAGGCCAAGTCTGAGTACCTAAGGCCAAACACATCTGCTAGTGTGAATAAAACAGCTTTCTTTTTTCTTTTCTTTTTTTTTCTTTTTTTCTTTTGTGATAATAGAACAGCAACATTCAGACACTTTGAAGAAATACTTAGACAATTTCAGCATTTGACTTTTCTCATGAGTTAGGCCCAGTTACCTATTATGTATCCACATGTGATCTGTTTGTGGCAAAAGTTGAATCAAAGAATATCCTTTTCCAGTCTCTCCATTCATGTCTCAAATACCTCTGCTCTAGTAGGTATAGATACAGGTAATATAAGCTAACTTAGTAATAGCCTGGGTAAAATATAACTAGGACTCTACATCTAATATCAGGGGGTAGGGGATAAAGGGTAGAAATTACATGATGTATTCCAAATTCAAATAAAAATCCCTTTTCCATGTTTGCATTGTTGCTCAGCTCCAAAATAGCATGGCTAACAAGAGATGACTTTAAACAGTCAAATAGCCTTACCACAGCATCAGTCATTTAGGAGTGAGAAAGCCCTCTGAATCTGTATCTAGTACTACAGCCCAGTGGTTTCTGACTTCTTCTTTTTTTTTTTTTTGGTGTGAATATACTTTTTTTTAATTTATTGATTGTTCAAAACATTACAGAGCTCATGATATATCATCTTTCATACATTTGACTCAATTGGGTTTTGAACTCCCATTTCTACCCCATATACAGATTGCAGAATCACATCTGTTACATACTCACATTTTTACAGGTTTCTGACTTCTAAGGAGAGCTCCTGTCACCTCATTCCTTTCACATTGTCTCCCTCCCTTTCCTTCCATGCCCCCAAATCCAAGGGCAACAATCAATAAGGAACATGGTTCATGTAGAACCCCTGCAAACCATTTTTTAAAAAAAATCCTACCTCAAATTTAATAGTTACCTTAGAAATTTAACAGTTATCTAGTTTATTGAATCATTGTATGTAGCCATGGATAAAATGTACACCTGGAATTTGTTCTGTATAAGGAATCAAATAAATGGGTCAATTTTCCAAATACCACTTTACTTGTGTTTATAGTCACTTCGAGTGTATTTATTGGATGTTACTAAAAAACTGAGAAATTAAGCTCATTTACAAATATGTTAATATGTCTACTGCATCAACAGCCATCACATTTCATCCAAGCATCCCTCACATCCTACTGTTTAGCAACAAGGCAGCTGAGTAGAAACTGAGTATAAGTTCCTTGAGAGCCGGAGCTGTTTTCTTTCTCTTATCATCTATCCCCATCCTCATTACCCTAGTGTCTCCATATTTGCTGTCAAGATGAGTTTCAAAGAGACACTCTTGCCCTTAGATACTTTCAATTGACCCAGAAAACAAGCCAAGAAGAGGTAAGTATTCTAACAATCAAGGATGTGCATTAGTGGAGAAGGAAATACTTGAGCTTGGAATTATTTGGATTCTCTCTATGGTCTAAAGATACCTGGAATATGCCTGGGTACTCGAGCATGTCTGTGGTCAGATCTAGACAATCCTCCAAATAATTTAAACCCCTGAGAATAAACCAGAATTTGAGATTTAATGTATTGATGTTAATTCACTGGATGATTATGGACATGCTGTTCACACTGCCTCTGGTTAGAGTTTCGTGGCAGAGGAAGAGGCTGGATCCATTTCCCTCACTCATCCAGAACTTCCCAAACACTTGTATATTTTATATGTATAAATGTAGCCAAGGACTATATCCATACAGTGAAATGAGAGGTTGAAATACTTGTATATAGATAATGCAGCAGAAAATATGTTGGGGAGAATCTGGAAGTTGGGGGCTGAGAAACATAGTTTGAATGATCAAAGCAAGCTCTCCTAGAATCAAAACATCTGGGTAATTGTTGAACTCCCCCCCCCCCACTTAGCCTGTGTAGAAAAACCCCATCTGTTTGCACAGGGTTAGCCTAAGAAACTTGGAGTACCATTAGCTTTTCAGTAGGTTGATGGACATATATTTGAGAGTCCTGCCATCTCTTCAGACTTTGCCTCATTGTTAAATACTTAATTGTCACTCTTTAATGTGTTGTCGATTCTGTTTTCATCAGTTCTGAAGAACTAGAATGTGTAAATTGCCAGTGAAATGCATGCATATAAGGGCTCTATGACTGTCAAATGTTAAGGACAATAGTACCTTCATATCCTCTCAGGTGTGCCAGACACTCTCACTCCAGTGCCTTCATTGAGATCACACTTTTATCTCACCCAAGTAGAAAATAATCAAATTCAGAAAGCCCTCTCATTATTGAGAAATGCCAGTTGAAAACTGTTATTTTTATTTCTAAGCAGCACTTTTCTCTGTTCAAGTTGCAAATATTCTACATGAGTGTGTAGCATTGACCCACTGAAAGAATGCTTACTGGACCTTTCTGTCTCCAGTGTCAATTGGGCTCTGGGGTGACTCTGACCTCCACTTCGAGAAATGCTTGCTAAATTAAACTTGTTAATGAGTTGAACAGAATTTATGATACTTATCAGTTACACAATTATTTAATTCTCCCAACCATATGATGAAGTAAGTATTAACCCCATTTTACAGATAAGGAAATCCTCCATTCATCTATTTTTATTCTCCTGTAAAATGTAGCCAAGGCCTACCTGCTTGGTAGTTTCCCTCTCCTACCCACACAATCAAACATATGTGGCCAATGTCTCTAGTTCTATTATCAAAAACTGTTCTTGGGGCTGGGTCTGTAACTCAGTGGCAGAGCACTTGCCTAGCATGTGTGAGGCACAGGTTCAATCCTTAGTACTGCATAAAAATAAACAAAGACATTCTGTCCATCTACAACTACAGAAAAATAAAAATTAAAAAACCACTCTCAACATTGTTTTAGCCTGCTAAAGTTATCTACCTAAATGATAAAGCAAAGCTAAGCCTCAAAATGTTATCTTCCTTTCAATAGAGGTGCTTTTTCCCCTAGAGAATTGCACAAGAGAATTATAGGCATCAGCAGCATGGCTGGTAGAAGGAAAAGAGGAGGGGGAGGAGGAGGTCCCTTCCAGATACCCCTAAAAGGCACTTCACCCCTGGTCCTACCTATACAGTGTTTCAGTCACAGGTGTTCATAAATCAGAATGTCCATAGGAGGCAGGCAGGTAACATGTCAGATGATCGGGCAGCTCTAAGAATAACCTGTGTGGGAAAGAGAATGCTGAGAGTAAAGGCCTTCAAGTTCAATGTTCTAAAACACAGTGCCAGCCAAAGCATACCCATCCTTGACCTGCATTGGACTTTACAGTTTCTAACATCAACCCCTTCACATCGAGTGTTCTATGTGTACCCTCTACCCACGCACTCACACACCCAGTGAGGAAGGAAGAAAAGTCCCCATTTCACTGAAGCAGAAACTGATGCATAAGGAGGCTGAGTACTTTGTCCAAAGTCACACAGTAAATGCCAGATCCTGGGGATGCAAGTCTGGGAGCTGTTTGATTTCACCCAGTTTGACTTCTCTGCATCACTGTACATATCCTGATGATTATTTGTTTGCCCTTCACCAATTCAAGCCTAAGTAGAGCCATTTGTAAGTATGCATTAGGCCAGAGGAGCTTTATAGTAATGTCCAAAACTTCCATTAAGTTACTAATGTGCTTTATAACACCAATTTTCCCCTTTGTGTTTAAGCCCTGATAGTAATTTAATGCATATGACACTCTCACTTTCAGGTCAAACATGCAATTTGGTCTCTGAAAAGATGATTTGAGCATCCATTGTAAGTCAACTGGAACACTCCAACCCCCCAAACACTAATATGTCTGCATATGGCCCTAACATTGCCACAGGGGGAATGAGGATGTTTGTGGAACACATTTGGCTCACAAATAATTATCTTATTCCCTACTTGGACTTCTGAGTAAGCCAATGTATTCGGAAATAATCTCTTTTTCTGAGTGGTTTCATATCCAGACTAATTGAATCACTAAGATCTCAATAGTATCTCCTTTCACTGCTAAGATTCGCACTCTATTTGGGCAAGAGCAACCCTTCTGTAATGTTTATCACCTTCCCAAAATGCAGCCACTACTTTTACCACTTATGCAGGTCTAGCAAGCAGGCAAAGAAAAATGAACTCTCACTCTGGAGAAATTCTACCCATGACAATTCAGGAATGGCCTGTGCGTCTTTGCGCATGGTCCTTGAGGCAAGTGACAAAGAATTACTATAAATCATTAAGAATCCAGCATATCAGGTCAGCAAAGGTGCTGAATGTCCTTTCTGCTCTGGTGGCCCTTAGGAAAATGAATGAACATCTTTTCTTTTTCTTTCTCCTCCTCCCTCCTCCTGACTTAGAGGTCTTTCAAATAGTTCATTTTGAAGAAAATACTGTCCTTTAAGAGGTCTATATATACATATTGCCACATCAAAATAAAACTATGTTAACTTAAAAAAAATCTAAGACCAATTTTATAAATCTCCAGGATAGTGTGGCACTTCTTCCTATGCTTAAACAACTTCCAATTACAACAGAAGCAATTTATTCTTGTCCTATTAATCACTTATTTCTCCAACAAACATTTATTGAACACGTATTACACAGCAGGCCCTGCCCTAACTGCCTGTTCCTTTGCACCTTATATGTCAAAACAAAATAAGTAAGGTAACAAATAATAAACAAGATTATTTTAGGTA